CCCATAGGGTCTCACCGCCTCCCATGATGGGGCCGCCGACCATCCCAAACAGAGCCATCAGCCCAGCACATCTGAGAAAAATCGCCACAGCAAACCCACTCCGGGAGCTCTTCTCATAGTAGGAGCCGTCGACATAGATCTCGGCATTGCATCCTCCGTGTTGCTCAGCCACTGAGAGCAACTGTGACCAATGTACCAGGCCGGTCATAGCATCTTTGGTCACTTGACACAGGTCCAGCATCTCACCACTGGCCCGCATCCACTCAGAGGGCCATACATGAAATGCCTGCCGGATCAGTCCAGCATCGTGGGGGAGTTCAAGCAATTCCTCATGCATACTGTAGTTGCTGGCGTGGATGTGCTCCGCCAGCGCCAAAGGTCCCTGTCCAACCTCCGGCGTTCTCTCTGGACTCCGCCTAGGCGATCTGCTCCGAGGGCGGTTCACAGGTTCCGGGCGGGGTGGCCCAAAGGGGCCTGGGCCCCTCGGGGGGCTTCCGCTCGAAAAGTCTGAGGAGTTGGGGATGGCGCCTCTGCCTTCATCCGTCGAGCTGTCGTCACTGTCGCTATCCTCACCCAGGTTCTCCTCCGACGGAGTCAGCTCCGCCGTTTTTCTGAGGCTGACTTCCAAAAGCTCACCATCCTCAACTTCCAGGACCGTCGGGCTACGGCCCCTGATGCCACCTTGGACAACCAAGGAATAGTCCTGGATGTATTCGACCTGAATGTCCTCCAGATACGCGCCCACGTCGAAGTGGTCACCTCTCACAGCAACCCATTGGATCCATCCACCTATTCCTCTGAGGTCCAGCACCACAATTTTGAAGTTCTCCCGCGGGTAGGTAGAACATGGCACCACTGCTACCGGAGAGAGGATTCTTTTGCCCTTCCAGTATAGCTTGTGCGGTCGGGCGCCTGGAGCTCGCAGCCAGAAATCCGATGGGTGTCGCTCAAACGCCACACTGGCCACAGCGACGGGGTCACACCCGTTTTCTCGGTGGAGGAAGTGGAGGTGCTGGTCGGTTTCACTCATGAAGCACGCATATCTACCATCAGCATGCGGCGGGTGGTCTGTGGCGGGCCGCCACCTATCCGGATCCGCAAAGCGGTCCTGCATCCCCGAGGGCCAGTCGACAACTTCCCCTCTAGGGATTATCTTGACCAACCCACAATGCTGGGCAGGCAGGCTCATAGTGTCCGTCATAGGGTCTAGCGATCCAAAGGCAAACACCTCCACGTTGTCATCGCCCCCTCCAAATTCAATTTGATGGAGCATGGCATACTTGGTGACCGGGCCTTCGTGGTAGATCGCAAAGACGTTGCCGCCCACTGCAGTGGCATCCAACGTCACCACCACCTTCTCCGATCCATCGAGCCACCTCGGCAGGATGAGCACAGTCCCGAAGTCCTCGTGGAGCTGCTGGGCCGTGAATATGGCCTCTCTATCCAGGATGTGGGCCGACTCCAAGATAAATTCGAGGAGCCTCTCCTCGACCAAGGGGAATGCCATGGCTAGGTCCAGGGACTCGCTCTCGTATCCTGGAGAAAGCAGTCTGAAAGAGATGTGGTGAGTCGTCTCTTCGTTCTCGTCGATCCAGTGCCACTCGCCATCCGCCTCCGTGATGGCAACCGGTGGTCCCGGGATCTCTTCTGGGTCCATCGCATTCACTCCCACTTCGTGAACACGGTGTGGTAGGACTCCTCCGCTTTGTAGGGGTTGACTGAGAACATAGTTCTGCATGGCCTGGGCCACTTGCTCCGCCATGGTTCTCTGGCCACTAGCCCAAATTTCCAGGTCGGTAGGTACCGCCGGGCGAGGGCTTGTCTCCTCCATACTTTCTCTGATGGCCGGGGCTGCCTTGCTGGTCTGCACTTGTAGAACAGCAAAAGCCGTCCACAGAAGCGGGGCACGTCGTCCAGCTCGTCTCCGTGTGTCCGCATATGGTCGCTGCCATTTCCAGGTAGCATATATAGAGGAGATCTGCGTCACTAGCAGGAGGAGCAACAATGTTCTCCCCGCTGATTGGAAGGCACAATAGGCTGTGGTCCGGAGACTGCATCCAAAGCTGTGTTGCTTCGTGTTGTCACCGGTGGTTAGTACCGCCGCCAGCTGGTGCTCCTCGAGGTTGTCATCGTCGATCTGGGCGAGCAAGGCCTGTACGGATGGATGGTCGTGGCCGCCCGTAGGGCCGTGCCCCAGTCCGAAGTCTGCCAACTCCTGCTGATCGGGCGGGATGCCTTCCTTGTCCTGGATCTGAACATTGACGTTGTCGAGCGTGTCGCTGTCCTTAGCCCCCAGGGTGTTCGTCTGGCCCGAAAGTGTCTTGACAGACTTCTGCATACCGCCTTGCAATCGCGGCATCGAGTGCAGGGTGGGTTCCTTCCGAATGTTGTGGTCGGAAATGGTACACCCGTCCTTTAGCTGCTTGTCGATGAAGATCAGGCACTGCTGGTCGGGCGGTGTGTCTTCCTTGTCCTGAATCTGAAACTTGACGTTGTCGATCGTGTCACTGGCCTCAGCATCTAGGGTGATCGCCTTGCCCGCCAAGGTCCTGACAAAGTTCTGCATATCGCCTTGCAAACACGGCATCATGTAAAGGGTGGATTCCTTCTGGCTGTTGTGATCAGACAGGGTACATCCATCCTCTAACTGCTTGCCATCGAAGTTCGGGTGATGCTGGTCGGGCGGGATGTCTTCCTTATCCTGAATCTGAACCTTGACGTTGTCGATCGTGTCACTGGCCTCAGCATCCTGGGTGATCGTCTTACCAGCCAAGGTCTTGACAGAGTTCTGCACATCGCCTTGTAAACACGGCATCAAGCAAGGAGTGGATTCCTTCAGGATGTTGTGATCAGACAGGGTACCTCCATCTTCTAGCTGCTTGTCAGCATAGTTCAGGTGCTGCTGGTCGGGCAGGGTGTCTTCCTTGTCCTGAATCTGGACCTTGA